GCGAGCTGGTGGGTTCGCGAGGAACCAGCTCACGAGTTCGCGATGGGTAGCCTGCAAGGAACCCAGGCCCTGGGTTCCTCGCAAACCCAAGCTCTTGGGTAGCCTGGGTTCGCCTGCGGGGTAAGAGGAAAAAAAAGAAATTAAAAAAAAAAAAAAAAAAAGGCCGGAAGAAGTGGAGTCCATGTGGATGGTGACGTGGAGTCCATGTAAATATCTTTTACATGTTGGCATATCCACATTAGCTATTTCAGTTAAGTTAACGTGCCACGTGAGCAAAAATTAACGGAGAGACCAAAAAGGGACCGGATTTGTGAACAGTAAGGACTAAAAAAGGGATTTTTTCGGTACAGAGATCAAAAAGAGGCTTTTTCCTATAGTAGAGAGACCAAAAAGGGTATTTAACCAATAATTAATAACATTTGTTAATAAAAAATTATCACAACATGATAATTTTTATTATTTCTTTTCACTTAGCATGAGGCATAAATTGACAAGCATCCGCAATCAGTATGTACCCAAAATTTGAGTGGACCAGAGATGATAAATTTCACTGTAAACATAGAGGGAAAAGCCTGGCATGTTCAGCATATGACAATGATGTCCATCAAAATTTGAGCCATTAGTCCAACCCTTTGTTTGTGACAAACTCTAAAAGGTCAAAATCAATTTTACAAAGCCTAAATCCAAACTTTTGACAGCAGTAGATAATTTTTCATGCATTGCCAGACGGCTGGTAGGGTGACAAATAAGATGCATTCACCAAAAACAAGAAGACGATACAAGTTGAAGGAAAGGCTCAAATGGTGACAAACTAGAATCGCACGAAGGCAATCATAAAGGAGCTATGAAAGAAAGGCAGCTGCATCTATATCATCTTCGGCAAATACATTCAATTGCTTTAACACCTGTGAAAGAAAAGTAGTTGAGATGAATTTAAGATTGCTATAAATTCCATTGCAAAAATATGAATAAATCACCCTCAGACCAGAACAGGCCAGACACCACAACTGTGAAGAAAAATGAATGAATTATCACATTCGTTAAATGTTAAATCGTTGACCAAAAACCTGTTATTACCTTACGTCATTTGTCTCCAATTTCGGAACATGGTAAGTGACAGAGAAAGCATCACGAATGCCAATTGATTCTAAGAAGCTCACTTCACTTGTCGTTCCCAACACGAGAAGTTTCTTTTCCTGAGAAAGAAGTTTAAAATTTTAAAAATCAATATATTGGAAACTCCATTTGAAACAAAGAAGAAGCCAAAAGAAAATGCAGTACAATGCACATAAAAAAATAGGAACAAAAAATAAAAAATTTTAAATTATCACAAGACAACAATGTTTGGGATCTGACTTAAAAACTAAAAGGTGCACATGCTTCTCCACGCTTTCCATTTCTCTTTGGAAGAGCATACATCAAGAAGATTGGCATATAGAAATTTTCTTAATGGGGTTGTAAATTTCAAATTAAGCAAACATACAATTTAAATAAGTTAATAATCTAGGCTTGAGCAAGATCTAGAGTGATGCAGGGAAGGTAGGGGTAGAACAAACAAAAACTAAGAACTTCGTAAAATTAAAGATGGAACCAAGAAAACTTAGGTTTTCAACCTTAAGTTTATTTTCAAACTAAAATCTCATAACAAAAACTGCTTTTGAAATCTAAGAAGAATAACCATTTATACTAACAATAGCCAAGAATCCTAATTCAACTCTAATTTGAACCTCAAATAAGTTACTAATTCTAATCCTGATTACAAGTCACATGCTATCCACATGACTTTCCTAAAATTAAAACTTATTAGAGGCTAATCATTAAAAACGAAGTCACATGCTATCCCAAATAAAACTCAAACTTAATGCAAAACAAACAGCCCTAAAACTAATCATTAAAAAGAGCTCTATGCTCCCGCATCATAGAGGCTAGAACCATGTCATGGGCAGAACTTCAAATTTTCAGTTCCATATTGTATAATAAGAAAAAAAAAAAACAAGTGTGAATTGAGTCTTAAAAAAATAACAGACATGATCAATATCCCAACAGCCCAACCAATCTCTTGATCAGATTTTACTGTTAAATTGGTATGAAATTCTACTTTAGATGGTATTTCTTTCAATCGTGAGAAAAAAGAGACAATATACCTTAGGAGGAAGACGTTTGAGTAGGTCCAGAAGTGTTTGTAAAATTAAATTTGAAAACTGAGGTCCACTTGCAACATAGTCCAATAGCCTGCAGTTAAGCATCAGCCAACCATACAGTAGAATATTATTCACAAATGCGAATTTAGTGAACATGAGTATAAGGAGTTCATAACATCTTAAGAAGTAGTGTTACTTTTCTATGTCATCAAGGATGATGATACTCAAAGGTGACCTGTATGCATCCTCAAACACCTGGCAAAATATACAAAATTCAATTAGGTTTGAACTT